AGCACATCAGAAAGACTCGTATGTAGGACAACCAATACATATCAGGATAACCTCTGGAACTCAAAGCAAAAAGAATAGCCAGTATACACAGTACTTGAGTTCAGAGGGATGGCATCCCCCATCTTAAAAAAATCTTACAAATCACCCCCCTTCTTAAATGACCATCCCCCCATATCATCCCCTGTGACATTTTATTACTGAATGTGTGTAATTTCTTCTATGTATCAACAGTGTCAGAGTTCTGGTTTTGTTATGTTTTTTTCTTTTGAGTATTCAGTTTTGCTTTGCCCCTTGTTTTCTAGTAATTTTGTTGTGTTTTTTGTTTATTTTCAGTTCTCAGGTTTTTATTTTTTTCCCTCTGCTGCCCTCTTGTGTTCTCCTTTTTCCCTAGCTCCTTTCCTGATTCTTTCCTGTTCACACCTGCTCCCAATCTGCTCATCAGTTCCTCCCTTTGTTTCTGTCTCCCTTAAATACTCTCTCTGTTCTGTTCTTCTGTGCTGGTTCCTCGTCAAACATCCTCCAACTCTGTCTCTCTGAGTCTTCCTCCTAATGATAGTTCCCCCCCGATGTCTCTATGATTTCTGGTTTGTTTGGACTTTTTTCATGTTTGATTTTTGCCTTTTTGGATCCCTGGTTTATGGTTTGTTTGGACTTTGTTTTCATTTTTGGATTTCCTGCCTCTGTGATTCAGTTAACCTTTCATTAAATTCACAAGAAAATCACCTCTGCCTTTCTGCCTATGCATTTGGGTCAACAAACCACAACCAAATTCTGACAAACAGTAATGGCAATAATATTGCCCTTTCAACATTTGGCCGGCTGTGGGCTTATAGATAGCCTGAGCAAAGTAAATATAATCAAAGACGTGGCCTACCATGACAATGAAGCTGATCTCAGTAGGGAATTTATCCTCTGCATTTGTTTCTAACTATGTAGGGGCAGAGCTAGCCATGCCAGTCCAGGGACTGACTGCAGTTCTACTGTAAGGTACCTTGGTCAAGGCCAATGACCGGCGTACCTTACATGTAACAACCATACCATGCGGTATAGGTTAATAGATTATATTAATCAGGTTATGTATGCTTCCCAAAAAATAAATAAATCTACCATCCCCCTTCTTTTTTCTTTTTTTTTTTTTTTTACAACTAGACTACTGAGTATATATTTAATTAAGATGTTAAAATATGTGCATATATTTATTATACGGATGTTGTGCTGCTTTATTTTCCTGCTGGTACAGTGTGATCACTGTAGGTTCACCCTCACCTGGTTTTTGCCCCNGGTACCTTGGTCAAGGCCAGTGACCGGCGTACCTGACATGTAACAACCATACCATGCGTAGTGCTTTAGGTTAATAGATTATATTCTGTTTTTTTTTACAACTAGACTACTGAGTATATATTTAATTAAGATGTTAAAATATGTGCATATGTTTATTGTCAAATCGTTGTCAATTATTAGTTTGTCCAATAAGGATGTTGTGCTGCTTTATTTTCCTGCTGGTACAGTGTGATCACTGTAGGTTCACCCTCACCTGGTTTTTGCCCCGTTATGTTTTTGCTGCCAGTCTGGCAACCCCTTTTAAAATTATCTGGCTATGCCACAGCTTCATCTTAGAGAGTAACCACAACTGAAAGAATAACCTTCTTAACAACAGAACTTTAGAATAAAGTTGTAATTTTAAGTCAGATATAAAATCAGTGTTTTACTAATGGGCAGTAAAACAAACATAAAGAGCTTGTTGGATCAGGACTACTGAAATTTTAAGCACTAAAAGCTACTTTATTTTTGCTTACAAAATCAGTTTCCATTCAATATAAAATATCTCTAAGCAACCTAATCAAAGTTAAACTACTAGTTTGAAAAGGCAAATAGATCTGTGATAGTCAGGGGCGCTGCCAGGAATTTGGGTCCCCATGAAAGACATTTATGGGCCCCCCACCCATAAAAAAATGTATGCAAGTTTTAAAACTGCTATAACGATTCACTTAAGAGTATCATTTACATTTTTAAAGTTACTTTTATCATTAAAATTATCATAACCTGAAAAAGTTAAATGTACATTAAATTTAAACTATTCATTTACATCCTATCAAAAATAATATCAGCTTATAAAAAAAAAAGCACAATAAAAGTTACATTAACAATGTAAATGATACTATTTAGTGCATCTTTATAGCAGTTTTAAAGCTTGCATAAATTTTTTTATGGATGGAGGCACAGGTGTAACTTTCTGAAGGCCTGGTGTGGACATGTCCCCACCATCTTTGGTCTGGTGTGGACAGTCCTCACCAGTAATCTCTGCCTTTTTTCACCCTTTCCACTCATTTACTTTAGCCAAAGGCAACAGAGGCTGGGTGCAGCTAACTGTTCAGAGCCTTATGAGTGGTTGTGTTCTTGTTTACTAGTTAAAAAAGCTTCGCATCTCAGAGGACCAAGACTCCCAGTTACAGGTTAAAATTAACCTTTGTTCTTATTGTGCAGACAGAATCGGACTGCAGAGCTTCTATATATCTTAAAAAATTGTTTCTGGCATCATTATATTAGCAAAGAGGTTCATAAATCTTTTTAAACAGAGCACCGAGAGAAGTAGGGAGAGCTGCAGATTTAAAGGGGAAACAGATTTACTGGGATATGCAACACGCAATAAAATATATCTCCAAGTTTACCAGAACGTTTACAAGAACAACATATGCTCGTTAGGATTCCAGTTTCTGTGGGTTGTTTTTTTGTTTTTTTCTCTCTCCACCACTAGGCGGTGCCCTGTCCTCGTTGGGCCTCCCTGCTAACCTGCGGCTCATTGGTTCATTACCAGAGGAGTACTTGAGCAGCGGGCTGTCACCATCTTGACGCCAGAGTGTTTGCCAGTATTGGGAAGACTTCCTGTGTTACTGGATAACCCTGGACCTTCTACCCCTAGAAGGATTTACTGAGTCTCACTGAGCAGGGGAAAACCTCCACATGATCCGTTCAAGTCCACTCCTGGAAAACCAAGTGACAGTCCGCTCCTTCACTCCTCTGGGTCCAACGTATGTCTGCCTGTCCGCTCTCTAACGTGTTCCCTCTTGTCTGGATTAAACCCTCGCAAACTGGATCCAAGGACAAACCAAGAGCCCCCCAAAATTGAGTGCCTCCCCAGCAATATTCAAGCCTGAGTCTATTTTCCAACTGTCCCTGAACTGATCACTGTGATCTCCCCTTCAGAGTTTCCAGTTCTGGTTCACCAGTTTGCTGAGTTCCAGCATTGTTTCCCCACCGAGTTTCAATCTCCATCAGTGTTTGCTAACCTACAATAAACCTGTTAAACTTTTACCCTTGGTCTCTGAGTGGTTCTGTGCATTTGGGTCAGATCTTTCAAGCCCATTATGACAATGCTATGCTATATTCAAAATGCAGTATATCCATATTTTTCTGGATGAATGGAATTGAAATTTTAATTCTAGCAATGCATGATATATCGATTTTGGCATCAGAATCGACTGTTATCATTTTTTATGCATTATGGTATTTGGGCCCTATATATAATGCACTAAAAGGCATCTCTCTAACTATCTATAAATATCAATATCAGTGTATTATGATTCTTTTGTGTTCTCAACAATAGGAAAGCATTCAGTAAATAAATGTTTGAGCTAAGTTTTGGAAAATACAAAAACCTAATGAAAGCGTTCGGGTGGAGTAACTGTAGGTCCATCAGCCCCCACCCTTAGAGCGTCCTCCCCACCAACTTTCATTACAAAGTTATACCCTTGGGTGGGGGGGCCCAATATAAATGTCTTTGGGTGGGGGGACCCAATATAAATGTCTTTGATTGGGCCCAAAATTCCTGGCGGCGCTCCTGTCTACTTTGCTTTGGTGTTTTCTTTCTTTCATTGAGAGTTCAGGCTATTTTCATAGAGCAGTGATTAAAGAAGCTGGTTTTACTTGTCTGTCGGTGTGATCTCTCTTACCGTCAGAATTTAAAAGTAACTTGGGTGTGGCTGGGAAATGTTTTTTCTTATGCATATTTCACCCCAGATTTTTATTTTCCACTAATACTGGATTTAACAATAACCTAAAAAAAAAAAAAAAAAAGTAATGTGAACTCAACACTTTTTAATCTGCCTAAATGTTTGTGTTTGGTAGAGGCGCACACATTCATATAGTCTCCCAGTTGAGTCGCACCTTGCGCATCAATACATTCCCACACCCTGGTCGTCACGCTGAGCGTCACCAGACCAAACCGATCAGACCTCATTCCTTAAGTCTTTTCTGGTTCTTGACGTGGCGAAATTCATCGCTCGAACGAAACCACGCAACAATCCCTGCTTCAGGGCTCCAAACATATCGCCATTACGCATGTAGAGAGCCTTGTTTCTCTGCTCGGAGCGCACGGCCTCAGAACCGGAGGATGCTGCTGAAGCGCTGCAATCAGCTGATAAACAAGAGGCAAAGTTTGATTTCCTTTTAGAACTGAGCAATAAGGAGGAAAGGAAATAAAAAAAAAGGTAAGGATCTTGCGCCTAACCAAGGCAAACTTGCAAGAGACAAAATTCTTTTAGCTCCTTTTACAGGAAATGAAAGATGAAAAGATTAGGCCTACACATCTTAATGATAACCACATTCATAAGATAAAGGTTTGTTTTTATCTTAGGAGAAAAATCGTGATGGATATATATATTTTTACCCATTTTAGCTAATTTTCAAATAATTTTTTAATGTGTCGTTTCTTATGTTAGAATATTAGACTAGTTCAACTAATTTTGTCAAAACAAACAAAATCGCAAGTATGAAAAATATATAAGCCACATAAACAAATGGAACACCTTACATGTTAAGTACTAATCATCATGTTATGCATTATGATTCTAGTTATTCTAGTTATCTTTTTTTCTTTTTTTTTGCATTGTTCTGACCCCACAATTAATTTGTTTACAGTAATGTATTTTATTCATCATTAAAAGCGGAGACAATATGATCTAGGATAATTTATCCGATTAAAAATCTGATGGCCTACTTAGTTAAGAAGTCAGCACTAATGTTTTAACAAAGACGCCATATACATCACAAGTTGTAGGAACTAGTTTGGCCAGAAGTTACTTTGTCTGTTCTTTGGAGAACCTGTTAAGCCAGTGATTGGTGTTGGGTGGGTCAACCCTGAAGGAAAGCACCTCTAGACAACATTTTTTTCTGGATTGTCCTTTACAGTAAAAAAAAAAAAAAGCATGATGTTTTGTCAAACTGTAAAATCTAAAGTTTTGGGTTTTTTTTATTTACCAGGTGAGTCATCTCCATTGATGTGCATCAGAGGGAACGTTATCAGAGCAAGAAACTCTTCCTGAAGTCTGTAGTCTTTCTCTGAAATCCAGTGCAAACATGAGGGACAGACTAAGCCACCTGCAGGAAGTGTCCACTGGCAGTATCGAAACCTCTGAGTATGCAGAGTCCACCTTTTCTGACACCTTTAGTAATGTCGACCTGGAAGAGGAGCTACCTCATCAGGCAGTCGTGTTCGACAACAGCCCTGCTCTCTCCGATGTCTTTGCTCAATCCCAGGACATCCACCGAGAGGTACAACTCATCCGAGTTGAAGTTAAAAGGCTCCGTGAGCAGAATTCCCGCATGCTCCATGGCAACACTACCATGAGCACAATTAAAAAAGACTCCAATGCTATAGGCGCAGACATAAAGAAGAAGGCTGAGGATGTCCTAGAACGCCTGCACAAAATGGACGGAACAGCCCACAAGTTAGAGCAGGAACATGGCGAAAATTCTGCAGTCACACGCATCGCCCGAACCCAGTATGCTTGCCTCAGCAATGGTTTTCGAGACGCCATGTTTGACTATAATGAGGCTGAGATGACCCATCGAGAAAACTGCAAAGCCCAGATCATGAGGCAGATGGAGATTGTTGGCCGGGACGTGACGGGCGAAGATGTGGAGGAGATGATCGAGAAGGGCCAGTGGAATATCTTTACTGACAATGTTGTGAGTGAAGGCAAAACGGCCCGATCAGCTCTGTTCCAGATTGAGAAGCGCCATCAGGAGCTCTTAGATCTGGAGAACCGTATCCAGGGAATCCATGAGATTTTCCTGGACATTGCCCTACTGGTAGAGGAACAAGGCCCAATGCTGGATTACGTCCAAACAAATGTTCAAAAAACCGACGCGGGCATACAAGATTCCATCGTCAAACTTAAACTGGCTAAAAAACATGACAACAACAATCCGTTTAAGAAGATGTTTTGCAGTTGCTTCCCATGCTATAACTAAGGACTGGAACCATCTGCAATGTAAAGTCTTTGATAAATGCATTCTTATTATTGTTGCAAAGCAATACTTGTTATTGAAGGACAATAATATCAAGAACTTAAATGAAGGTCTAACTGTAGAATCAGTAGCACAGTCATCTGCACTATATGTAGAGATAACAATATGCTTCTGTATAAAAAAAAAAAAAAGTTTATTCTTAAGTTATATCCACGAGTATCTAAATTCCTGGGATGGAATGGTGACCTGCCCTGGATGCACCTCTGGCCTAGTGACTGACCCTGAGAAAGTGTACATATATATAGAGAGAGAGGGAGAGAAAAAAAAATCTGCCAGTGTCTCAAATCATAATTTTATGAAATGGATGTGATGAAAATTATTCTAAATTATTGTTGATCTTTTTTGCCATTTGGACTCTATTTAAACCTGGTTGGGACTGTTTCCTTCAGCAAATTAAACTGGATTGAGTGACCTGAGATTGCACATCTCCTTATTTACAACCTAAAAATTTACTTAAGATGTTATTGTGGTTGTTTTTGGGCTAAATGTTATATGTCATGTTACCTTTAAGTCATTATCAACTATAGATGTCCAGGCAATAGTATCTATAATTGCTCAGATGTCACATGAATAAATCACACAATAAAAATACATTTTTATGGTACAATCACACTGTTTGTGCACACTTTGATCCGTTTATTTAGCTTTTGCACCTTTTTGTTCCTTCTCTAGTTACATATCTAAAGTACTACAGATTTTCTTATCAGTTTATTTAGCTTTTGGAATATCTTAAAATATGAACCCTTGTAATGTTAGGCTATGATTGCACAGAAGAACTTAATGAAATTAACCGAAACTAAAAATCCCATAGATTGTGCCTGAGGTTATGGCTTTGAAATTAAAATTTAAAATCATTTTCTAATTGTACATTTTAAATTGAATTATTAAAGATGAATTCTAGTATTTAATAAAGGATTCATAAATACAATGCACATTTCCTCTATAATAATTAAATTCAAAATGTGGAATAAAAAAATGCTTTTCAAGTTTGATTTCAAATTGACAGATTTAAATGTTAAATTTGAAATGGCTGTTGTGCCATTATTCTCCACAGTCCTCTGTCTCACCATATGTAGGTTTATTTGAAAGTAGAGTCCTGCCTCCAGCCAGCTACATTGCTCCTGTTTTAAAATCACTTGCTTGAAAACATACTGTAGGTCAGCATCTGATGACATCACAGTAGGCAGTGGGAGGTTTTGTCTGTTACATAATAGAGAAACAGATCCTTCACAGAAGAACAAGCCTTGATGGCTATATCAAGCTTGAAATCAACCTGTTTAAAATGTATTTATTGTATGTGCACTTAACTTTTTATCTACCATCTAATCTTCCAGCCAGTTTCGTTTTAGATTTGCATTCATGCTGTACAGGAAAGCTCTTTACGCCTTTAATCACTCGAGACAAACTCTTTAAAAAGCATTTCATAATGTATATATACATCAAATAACCACGAGACAGGACAACAGATTTTGGGATAAATCATAATTTTACTCAGACCAGAGAATTTGCTTAGGGTTATAGAAGGCAGCTCCTACCAACCGGGCTTTCTTATCATTGAAGACCGACGTGAGTCACAGGAAAAGAAACATTTTATACAACTCCAGTAAGCCACACCACCACAACATTACAGCATAAAAATGAGGAGACATCCCTCGCTTCAGCCATATCAAATTATTACAGTGTCCTAGATAAAAACACTGAGAACTTGCTTTCTGTGTCCCCATTTCATTTCCAAATCTCTGTTATGTACATAATAAACATGATAACTGTATATCATGACAGAAGAACTGTCCTAAATAGATAAACTACTTGGGAAAAGATTAGTTTTTACACATGACATGCAGGTATTATTAGGGCTTAACAGACTCACACATCACCAATAAAAATAATACTAGCAATGCTCTCAGGTAGAGAACAAAATAATGCTTAGTTTGGTTCTGAATTGCAGTGGAACTGTTTAAACATTTGAAGCCTGTGGATGAGAAACCAACAGATGATGAGCCAAGAACGTTCTGCTGAATGGAGCCTAAGACATACAATAGGGCCAAAGAGCATTAAGTCAGCCAATGATTGTGCAAGTTCTCCTACTTAGAATGATTTAAGGTCTGAAATTTTCAGTCAACTATAAAAGACAAAATGAGAAAAAAAGAAAAATTAGGGAAATTACATTGTAGGATTTTCTAAATATTTTGTTTGTAGGTTAGGGTAGAATATTAATGTTTGGTCAAAAGCACAAGTTCAGCTTAATACTTTGCAGCATTTTGGCCCATTCCTCAATCTCTTCTAGATCCTCTATCTCTTGTAGAGCAATGATTTTTTTTGGGGCTGTTGCTAGGCAACACATACCTTTTAACTACCTCCACAAATTTCCTATGGGATAGAGGTCTGGATACTCACTAGGCCACTGAAGAACCTTGAAATTTCCCTCCCTCTTTGGCTGAGTGGTGTGTTTTTGGACCATTGTAATGCTGGAAGACCCATGCTCCATCTTCAGTATTGATGGAGAGGGGTTGCCTGAAGATACATGGCCTTGTTAATTTTTCCCTTAGAGAAAAAAAACCAATATGTTTCCACCTCTATGCTTCATAATACGTATGGTGTTCTTGGGATAAAACCAAACATTATTCTCCCTCAAACATATACCTGTTGAGTTTGTTCAAAAATTTATTTTTCTATTTTATTTTTATCTGACCATCTAATATTCCCCCAATCCTCCTCTGATCATCCATATTCTCTCTGGCAAACTTTAGAAGGGCTTGGGCATACTGGCTTAATCAGGGATGAAAGGCCAGGCATAGTTTGAGTCTCTGTTGGAGTAGTTTGTTGCTGGTGGTAGTGCTTATTACTTTAAACCTAGCTGTCTGCAGGTCATTCATCAGATCCTTCCAAGTAGTTCTTTTCTTTCTTATTTTTGCTCATCTTTCTCATGATTATTATGACCCATTCGTCCCAAAGGTTATCAATTGTTAATGTTAATGTTAATGTTTTACTGAAAATGAAAAGGAGTAAAAACACAATACAAAGAAAAAATGTCCATGTTGGTTTAGCACTAATGACTTGCATTCTTGTTTTTTTCCCCCCCAATTTTAATAAATCAGTACGTCCAAGTCTGTTCTTTAGTAAAAGTCACTGGATATTTGTTAATAAAACTAAAGGCAAAAACATAAATTATAAAATGTGAAAATAATACTTTTTAATATTGAGGTACTGATTTGGAATGGTAAAATTGCACAATTTTTGTTATTTTTTATTTACTTGATGTCGACCAGAAGAGACAGAGCAGACTGTACTTCCTAAGAAAGCTTAGGACCTTCAGTTTTTGTAAGAAGATGCTGCATATCTTCCATAAGTCTGCTGTGGAGAGTCTGAGGTCTTCTACCATTAACTGCTATGGTAACAGCATCAGAGCAAATCATTTAATAAAAAGCTCAAAAAGATGATAAAAAAAAGTCTGCTCTGTTCTTGGAACTCCTCTAAAACCTCTGAGGATTATTTCTCAAACGAGAATTCTTTATAAAGTGAGCAAACATTTAGACAACAATGCACATCCTTTTCAGAAGATTGTTAAACAACAAAGAGTTTTTTCCGTCTGAGACTTCTCCAGATTTGATAGAAGACAGATCGCTACAGAAGATCATTCCTGCCTAGACCTATGAACACCTATAACATCTCATTGGAAAGCGTCCCATGAGTTACTGCAACATTTTAATTTCCCTTTAGGACTAATAAAATATTTTTGTTTTGATTTCAATCAAACCGTAGCAAACCTAATCATATCTGCATCAGTAGCAAATCTGATCCAACTAATTCCTTTGAGACCTGCAAATGGTCCTAAGGCACTTTGGACAACCCTGATTTATATTATTATTGAAATAAGTAATGGCATTTACTAATAAGACAATTAGTGATCTTATTATTCACTGAAAAAAATATGGTTCTTCAATCTAAATATTTTATTATTGGTTTTTTCCGAAAATAAATATATAAGTAAATATAATCTAAATATTTGTGCCTCTTACATTTTCTTTTTTTCAATTTTAAATAAACGTGACTGGGTTATAAAGTATTTTAACCAAACAATACAATCATGCATAAAAAAAGAAAATAGAAAAAAAAACATGCAGAATTTAATTCCAATTAAAAGCTGAAATGTTTTCCTCCCCTCCTGAAGAGTTCTGAATTTCCAAATTACCGCAGTTCTTGGATCTCTTCAGTGATATATAATCACACGAAGGAACCGTGCTGCAATTCAATTCAAATTAGTCTATTTATTTATACAGCACAAACTGACACAAATTTTGTTTCATGTTGTTTTTCAGTGTAGTCCTGTTTCTCTGACTGTCACAAACTGTATGTGCTCTCTTTCATCCTCTGACATGGGCTAGAGAGGGGTCTTTCCTGGAAAGGGCCAGGTGTGCACCTGGTTGACAGTTGCCTTTTGTATCTCTGCTTCTGTCTCATTGAACCCCAGTCAGTCTCAGCAGATGGTCGCTCACACCGCGTCTGTTTCTGCTGGAGGTTTCTTCCTGTTAGAAGGGAGTTTTTTCTCTCCACTGTCGCTACAAGCACGCTTGGTGTGAGGGACTGCTTTTGAGCCAATGAGCCAATGCAATCAGCTGGTTTTCTTTAGATAGAAAACTTTTAATCAATTTGACTGTATGATCTGTTAAACTGTAAAGTGCCTTGAGATGACATGTGTTGTGAATTGGCGCTACTCAATCCAATGATGCAGACAGATTTCAAATTCAGCAAACTTAAAACAGCTAGTTGGTTTGTCCAGTGGCAAAGAATGGAAGAAAATTCCTCTGCAGATGTTTCGGTAAGATTTTTTTTAGATTGGACTGTCCCTTTAATGAGTCACAAAATCTTTATAGCAAACAATGGAGTGAGAGGATGTGTTTTTGAGGAAGTTACTTCGCTTTAGTGGGAAGGCCTTGGTATGTCACCTGTCTGGTAGTGACGAGCAGCCATACAGACAACTTACTTCCTTCTCATCAGAGTGAAAAGATGCTCTCACAAGCTCCTTAGCACAAGCAAAAGAGACGGGCTGCAGGGGGTTTATTTAATTTTTTGGATTCTGTGACACTCCGAAGAGGTAAGTTGTTTTAATTTTTGAGTTAAATGACTTCTGATTTTGATCTCATTTGTTAAATTGAAATTTCCTGTTCTAGTTAAAGTATCTATTGCGAGCCACTTTAATGCTCAGCAATTTGTTGCTAACACTGTTTTGGTTTCAGCAAGAATGATTTCTGGATTTCAGTAAATATTGTGTCAACTTTTCCAGATTTGTAAACCAAAGATGGTGGAAGGGATTTTCATGTGGTTCACAATAAGATTCCATGACAGGAACACTTAATTCAAACAGTAGTTTTTTAAGTTTCACCAGATGAGTCCAAGAAACTCAAGCTACGGTACACTTTAATTTATTATCATTACCTCTGGTTTCAGTAAGCTGTTTTCCTCATTCCTGTTTTTAAAAAGGAAATTCCACTGAGCTGGTGATCTGTGACGGCTCTGTGTCAAAAAGATAGAAATATTGCACAAGCTGCATTAGCTCTAAAATATAAACCTACTGAGAACTACGCCTTTATTATATTGGTTTTCCTCTTATTTTATTTTTATGCACAACTGAACTGAAAAGCAAAACAATATGTATATTAAGCTACAACAACAATTGTTTGGAACTGTTGATCATTTCTGCCAACATCAAACCCTCTCCAAGCAATCCTGTTGTAATAACAGTAACAGCAGAACATGATAATCAGTCACTGACTTTTTAGGGTATGCTCCTCCTAGATGAGGGTGGCAGCAGTTGTTATTTGCTTGCATTTGGTCATTGATTCTGCAGCAATCCCTCATATTGAGCATGCATGCAGCGACACTATAAAGGAAAAACTCCCTTTTAAGAGAAGAAACCTGCAGCAGATCCAGGCCTCTGCAGAGGCGAACTGCAGAGACCTGACAAAAATAATGAAAAACGAGTGTTTTTTTTACACATAAAAATGCCTCATTCCTTTAGCTCTGTGTCTTTTGTCAATACTTGTGTCTCATTCTTAGAGAAAAGAAATCAAATTTCAGTAATATCAGAACAAATTGCTAGATGCATTTAAAATGCAAAACATAGCATTAGGTTAAAATACATAATACTGGTCTCAATGGCTTTCAATCTGCAGGTTTACTAGTAAACTAGTAAACCTGCAGATTGTTATCAGGCTCCTGTCCAATGGACCCAACTACAAGTTTTAGTCAACTTTTAAGGCTTTTTTTTTTTTATAAACCTTATAGTTGGAGTGGCTCAGGTTATCCTGAGCTATTTCTATAGTTATGCTACTATAGGCTTATACTGCTGGAGGACATAGGGGCCACTTTTTATTATTCTGCTTCATTCTATCTTTATTCTTCAGTATTTGTTAGGTAAATCTCTTACTCTATGTCAACTCTGCTTTCCTGCATTATTAGCTTCATCTGGTCTGTTACTGTTTTGCCATGACACCATCCCAGAGAGAAATATCAGCTGTGCTGCTGCCATCAAGACCTTTGTTTATAGATGTTGCAGGCTGGACTCTACTGTGACCAACTGTATGTGCTTTCTTCATCTTCTGGGAGCTGGCTCAGAGCTTGTCTGCCTGGCTGTGTCTTTCCTAGATGTGGCCACCCATGGAGCTAGTTAACAGTTACCTTTTGTATCTCTGCTTCTTTCTGTATCTCTGCTTTTGCCTCCTTGGACCCCAGTCAGCCTCGGCAAATGGTCGCTCACATTAAGTCTGGTTCTGCTGCTATTAAAAGGGATTTTTTCCTCTCCTTTGTCGTTGCACGCAAGCTTGGTGTGAGGGACTGCTGTCGAGTCAACAAGTCGATGCAATCAGCTGGTTTTCCTTAGATAGAAAACTTTGAACCAATCTGACTGTATGATCTCTGTGAAGTATCTTGAGATGAAATGTCTTCTGAATTGGCGCTATATAAAATACCTGAAATCAGTTTAATTGATTATCGAGCTTGCGTTTTGATTTCACATTTCTTTTAGTAACAGATAAAGTTTTGTTGTGCAATGATAAAGGATTTTGTTACATAATTTTCTCAAATTCTAATAAGGCACTATTAAAGTAGTTTGCATAGTTTTGAGATCCTCTGCATATCCTGTCAGGGTGTCTGATGTTTAGCTGTATTTTTAAGTTTGTTTTTAGAAAAACATCATCTCAAGTCTGACTCTGTGACCAAAATTCATACGGCACATGTTACAGGACCTATTTGTATGCTGATAAATGTTATTTCTGTCACCTAACATCTACCCAGTAACCAACCTTTTCTCTATGTGGGTTCTTAGGCAAAATGAGGGACAAGCTGGAGAGACTCCAGACCATCAGTGAGGAACAGGAGGACTATGAGCCAGAGTTAACTGGACCTGAATACAGTATAGATAACGAGAATCTGACTCAAGAGGCTATCATTTATGATGACTCTACGGTCATGGACGAACTCCTGAAGGCCTCACACTCCATAAGAAAGGATATAAACATGCTTAGCTTGGAGGTTACGCGTCTGAGGGTTCACAATGAACACTATAAAACATCTGTAAGACGCTTCACTCTTCTGAAAAGGGACTCTGATTCAATCGCAAGAGGAATCAAGCAGCAAGCAGAGGCTGTGCATGTCCGCATACAGAACTTTGGTAAAGAGCGCAGTAGACTGGAGGAGAACGAAGGTCCAAACTCTGCTGTTAGTCGCATCGCCCGCACCCAGTATGACACTCTCATCTGTGCGTTCCGAGCTGTCATGGATGAATATAATAACACAGAGGAAAATCAGAGAGAAATATGCAGGAGGAGGATCCAGAGGCAGGCTTCCATAATGGGGAAAGAAATCACAGAGGACAACCTGGATGACTTGATAGACAAAGGTGGTGAGGGCTGGACCGAGCTGTCCCAGAGCCTTACGAAGGATGGTATTCGTTCATGCCGTATGGGCCTGTGTGAAATCAAAGGGAGACACAAGGAGCTGATGGAGCTGGAGTCCAGATTGAAGGAGCTCCATGAACTGTTCCTGGATATAGCCATGCTTGTAGAAGAACAGGGTTCGCTGGTTGATAATATCCAAGCGAATGTGTGCAACACAAGAGAATACATCGAGGATGGAACCTCTAAACTTAAAAGGGCTATATCCTTCAAGAAGAAGAACCCTTGTTTGCAATGTTGTCCATGGCTTCCCTGCTGGAAACAAAACAAATCTTTGTAGAGATTTGTTAAGATAGTGTGCATTTTACTCAACAATCAAAATAATAAATACATTTTATTCTGCATGAAATAGGATAAGACTGTAGGAAGTATAGCTTACAATAATTTTCATTTGCAAGAACTGCAGTCTTACATAGATGCCGACCAATTAATTGTGTTAGAATGACTCCGATATATGAAGCTTGGTATTTTGAAGGTTTTTTCTGCTTATTTAAATATTGATATAAAGTAAAATTTCTTAGTGTTATGATTACATGAACTGACCAGTGTACCAGTTGTTTGTCACCAGACCAGTTCAGATATTAAAGAAAGTGTTTCAGTCTAAAACAGTTCTAAGATGTTTGCTGATTTGAAATAAATGCCTGCTGCAGTGACTGAGCCACAGTTTGTTTCCATGACCACTGACTTGAATCATGTGGGAAAGCGGTTCACATGAGAAATTGGCAAGAATTGAAGTCACGAGAAATAGTGAGGCTTGAAAGAGTTTAGAAATGACACAAGACAGTGAATTAAAGGCACATGAGCGTCCGCGTGCCATTCTAAGCTGAATATGGTTGATTTTATTAAACATATCAACAGCTGGTATTAATTTTTGAAAAAGTACATTTCACCCTTTTAGATTTAAGGCTGTAACAATGAAGTAAAGATTGCATTAAGCAGTTATTAAAATAATCGTCATCTAACTTAGTAACTGATAGAAAAATGCTGTCCGAGCAGCAATCAAACCAAAATTACACAACATATATATGTACATTGTTTTGGTCAGTAAATATGGTCCATTTTTTTTAAATATCAAATGCCTAAGCTTTAGCTTCTCCTGGTGAAATGGACATAAATGAAAATAATTTAGACTCTCAATTGAGACAGATTAACCACTGAGCAAAGAAAAAAACAACAACAAAAAAACAAAAACAAATGTTAGTTGTATCCTTGAAGCAAAGTATTAAAGATAAGAACAGATGAACCTACATGTTGGCAAGAGCTGTATATGATGAATTGGCCTTTAATTAAAGTTAATTATTTTAGTTATATCAAACCATCTTAGCAAATGAAAAAAAAATTAAGCCAAAAGATGAGCTAGACTTTTTTTTATTTGCGTTAAAGGAAAGCTTCGATAATTTGTGTGCTACAATACATGTATTGTTAGCTATGGGATAGCATATGGACAAAAAAAAAATCTGTTTTTTCAATATTTTTCTGTTTTGTTTTTTTCACTTGGACCAGGAATACATATTTATTTAAAATGGACCGAGGTAAAAATAAAATTTCCTGTTAGTTATATAGTATATAACAACAAATTCACATAAGAATACTGTTTTTTTTCCCCAATGAAGCAAATAAATGTTCCTAACAAAAAACACAACCACATTTCCACAATCATCATGAGTAAATGGCACTCATTGCCTCAACAATAAATTCACTGGAGGTTTTAGGTACTTTGACATTTTAAAAATCCAAATTAAGTTTGATTAAGAATAAAAAATTGTCTTAATTCTGGAAAAATGAGAATTAGAAACTTTTTTTTAATCCACCAGAAAGGTAAGATTAATGAAAAATTGTGCAAATAGATCTCAAACCAGCTGTATGTATAAAATAAAAATAAGTGCAGCCTGGTAATAATTTCTTATCTATTTGATTCTTCTTGTTTAGTTGGTTAAAGAAAAACAAATAAAATGTCATTGTCTGTGATTTGCTATATTTGTCAGGCAGTTTAGGTGTGATAAACAGGTTTGTCTTTTCTGTATGAACATGTTATCAGAAGTGGCCAGCTTCAGGCTGACTCACAAGGAGTCAAAAGACATATCGAAAATGAAACCTTTTTTTATAACCTTTTACATGTTTTACATTTTATATTTTCTGTTTTTGCAGAAATACTTTAGGCCTATATATCACAAGAGAGAAATGATACTAATACTTGACTTTAGGTTTTAATTCCCATTCGTATCAAAAACAAACAAACAAACAAAACAAAACAATCTGCTTTACAACTATACAACTATTAAATAATATTCTAGTCTAATTTATGCCATCTTTTCTACAATGGAAGGATAGTTTGTCCTGCATATAGGCAGGTTTGCCTGAGGGGAAGAAGAAATAAGAAAGTTAGGTCTAGATTTTTCAGGTTGGTTCTAGAATCTTATAGTGTCATGATTTTTATATATATATATATATATATATATATATATATATATATATATATATATATATAGGGAGCGAGCCCCCGCCGAATTTTTATAGGTCACATGAACACCATAAGTTACGGTAGTAATGCTGACTTGGGCCTGTCAAAATAAAAGCAACATTATTTACATTTACCGAATGCTTTTAGTTGTTGCCATTCTTGCTCCTCTGTTCTGAAAATATATTATGGTCATGTAAATATGTAAATATTAAATTTGTTTTCAGTTTCTTTTCTTACTTTTGTCACAAATGGGTGTTCCTTATCTTAGAATGTTCACCAATTTCCCAAAGTTTTTATAAGTGTTATAACAATGTTTCCTACTATGAATATTTTCTCTCCAGGGTAACAACAGAACATCCATTGATGTTACTATTAGGGGTGTCCAAATACACTCAAAGAGACCCAAAGAGAGAATGCTAGTTAGCAACAATAATATAATATTATAATAAGTTAGAGAACAACTGAACCTATGTAACCAATGGGTTACATAAATGCTAAAGAGAATTGGACTGTTTATTCAAAAGATTTTAAATGGAGGCCCATATATATAGATATTCATTTTTGGGCAATTTTTAGAGGAGGACATCCCTATATACTTATTAAAGTTATCTACCACTTTAAAGTCTTTAACTGAATTCATTAAACCCAAGTAAAATATGTTGCTTTTGTTTTGAAACTCTCAAGGCATCGTTACTACCGTAATACACAGTGTTCGCGTGAATGACAACATCAGGGAGGACTCGCTTCACTGTCTTTTTCTGAAGAGGAGTTTGGTTTGGTTCTTAAACAGAGTGAAAGGCTTAACAGAAGTGCGGGCTTCGCTTTAATTTACAGTTTCAAGCGTGCATAAATTCATGGTAGTGAAGCATGGATTTATAGCAGGATGCAATACAATTAGCTAATTCTTCCCAGATTATCGGCAACTTTATGTGTTTACTTTCGTTAGGAAATGTAAGCACCAGTTTGTAACAACATCTGGTTGTCTGGCTTTCGCTTTCACCGTGTTATAATTTAAACAGTTGATTATTTATTAAGCGACGCAAAACGATGCCTTGGGTGTTCCTCCGAAATACTACCGGATGAAACTTCTGTTTCGTTAGCACCATCATGCTAACAGTAGACTACCTTTTAGTTTGAAAACAATTAAAAATACACATAATATTGCACCATAATTTGTTACTATTTCGTTTTTTAAAAGTGAATATATTATTTTGTTCCTAAACTGTAATTATTGCGAAAGCATGACGGTGTTGTAGTTGCAGGTGGGCTACTTTGACATAGAGCGAAGCGTAGCTTGATGCTAACAGCTAATACCCCGCTACATCGAAATAGTTTCCGCATATTACGTATTCTTTTTAAAAATTCTAATTTGGACACACATCAAGAAATTTTCCAGAAACAGTCAACAGAACATGTGCTTTCTGTACGTGATTATATTGCGGCGATATAGCGGATTCAATGTAAGCATACCAGGATGGCCGAGTGGTTAAGGCGTTGGACTTAAGATCCAATGGACATATGTCCGCGTGGGTTCGAACCCCACTCCTGGTATCATTTATTTTGAACATCATTTTATGGATAGGCGTATTATGTTCTTTAAAACACACAAATCTTCCTTAAACATACAGTTGTAAGCAAAACATTATAAACGAGTCTTTTTCTGTTGCATTTTATTGCTCTTTCTGACATTTTGAATTAAAAAAGCTTCCAAATTTGGAAACAGAGTCAAGAGGATTGTTTTTTTTTTCTTTTTAACTTTTTTCGGAATGACTATGACATGACTGGGTGAGAATCTTCACCAGCATACAAAACAGTACATTGTGAAAAGAATCATAAAAGAAATCTCATTTTTATGAAACATCAGTGATTGATTTTCGCTTATCAAATAAGCAAAATGGTAAGAAAAGTGTCGAGCAAAGGACTAAGAAAGTGCAAAATACAGTCTATACCTTTTATGATTGAAGGACAGAAAACAGTGGAATCACAATAAGGATAATCTTTTAGAGTTTGATATAAAAACAACAAACTAGTAAAGTTACATGTCTTCATCTTTTGAAATCAAAGTGAATATTATTTTTCAGGGATGTCAATTTTACTTCACAATGTGACACTACAACGGCAATAACTTATGCAATATCTAATGTGCAGTTACTATTTAATAACCTGTGGAATAACCTGTTTTTTATATTTCATACCCAGTGCAATAATATATATATATATATATATATATATATATATATATATATATATAT